GGTTTCCTTCATAAGAATCATTTCCAAAGGTGTTGAACTGATTGCCCTGTGGTATGTGCCCGACAAGATGATTATTTGAAAGATTCAATACAGAGAGTTGTGTCAAAGATACCAATTCATCAGGAATTTTCCCCGCCAGCTCGTTGGAAGAGAGATCCAACCATTCCAGATTCGTTAAATTCCCTAGTGACGGTGGGATATGACCAGTAAGGTTGTTATGAGAAATATTAAGCCCTTTGAGAGAGCTAAGCTTTCCCATAACATCTGGAATTTCTCCCTTAAACATGTTATTTGAGAGATGAATACTACTGAACACAGTCAAGATTCCTTGCAGCTCACGCTCGAATCCCTTCCATGTCACAACCAGTGAATATTGATAAGAATTCATTGGCGCCTTCATGTATTCAGGGGAACCATCCTCTCCATGAGAGTCCATCATCGCTTTAAAATTTTTAATGTATCGAACAGGCAAAGGGCCACGAAAATCATTGCTGGAGAGGTCCAGAACTCGTAATTTGGGAAAAGATAGACTTTCTTTGGTGCTCTGCACAAAACCGTGGAACTTGTTGGACCTTAAGACAAGCACTTGAAGGTCTGGTAGAGATTCCAACCAATGAGGGAATGTGTCCTCTATGTTGTTGTTGCCAACGTCTAGAACCTCTAACATGCGACAATTCACCAAAGACCTTGGTAATAAGCCGTCCATTTGATTTCCATGTAAGTTGAGATTTCGTAATCCACAGCCCTCTGGAAACCCAAATGGTATAATTCCATCAAAGTAATTGGCCTGCAAATTCAACACTAAGAGAGACTTAGGATGACAATTTGGAATCTCCCCGATTAAATTGTTATGAGAAAGGTCAAGAATTTGGAGGTCATCCTTTTCACATATCCATTTGGGAATATTTCCATGAATGCTATTTTTGGACAGCGCTAGGCTTTGCAGACCATTTGAATGTCTTAAGAAAATGGGGAATTCACTCAAGTTACAAGAAGACAAGAAAACATCAGTCAGTTTAGGTAACGTGAAGTTGGCATCGACATTCATTCTCAAGGACAGATTATTGTGTGAAAGAATGATGGTTTCTAGATTTTGAAGTGAGAACATGTCAGATACTACTAAATCACTAAAATGATTTGATGATAAATCAAGATAACTAAGATTTACTAAATTAGCAATTGAGTTAGGAATTGAGCCCTGGAATTTATTGTTTGACAAATCTAGATCTCTGAGTGAGTTTTGCTGGAATTGATTTATTTGACCTTGAAATTGGTTATGATTGAGGTTCAAGTTTTCTAACAAAGGTAGGGTGAAAATCCAAGGTGGCAACGTGCCATTAAGTAAGTTATGAGATAAGTCTAGATAACTTAGTTTGGAAAACCTAATAGCATGAAAGGGAATGGGACCAGAAAACTGATTATTGGAAAGGTAAAGCAAGGTAAGTTGGGTGAGGTTTGCAAGTGATGGTTGGATTTGTCCACTAAGATTGTTAGAAGAGAGGGATAGGATAGTAAGTTGCCCTAAGTTACCTATGGAAGCTGGAATGGGACTAGAAAACTGATTATTGGAAAGGTCAAGAGAGGTAAGTTGGGTGAGGTTTGCAAGTGATGATGGGATTTGTCCGCTAAGATTGCTAGAAAAGAGGTCTAGGTTAGTAAGTTGCCCTAAGCTACCTATGGAAGCTGGAATGGGACTAGAAAACTGATTATGGGAAAGGGAAAGATAGGTAAGTTGGGTGAGGTTTGCAAGTGATGATGGGATTTGTCCACTAAGATTGTTAAAAGAGAGGGATAGGATAGTAAGTTGCCCTAAGTTACCTATGGAAGCTGGAATGGGACTAGAAAACTGATTATCGGAAAGGGAAAGATAGGTAAGTTGGGTGAGGTTTGCAAGTGATGATGGGATTTGTCCGCTAAGATTGTTAGAAAAGAGGTCTAGCTTAGTAAGTTGCCCTAAGTTACCTATGGAAGCTGGAATGGGACTAGAAAACTGATTATAGGAAAGGTCAAGAGAGGTAAGTTGGGTGAGGTTTGCAAGTGATGATGGGATTTGTCCGCTAAGATTGTTATAAGAGAGGCTTAGGTAAGTAAGTTGAGATAAGTTCCCTATGGAAGCTGGAATGGAACCTTCCAAGTTGCAGCCAAGATACAGATACTGTAATGACTTAAGATCTCCTACAGACTCTCGCAATCGCCTTCCGCAATCCATGACAGATAAATACAAATGTTGGAGAGGACTGCTCCAATTGGAACTTGGAAGATCAATAGTGAGGTTTCGCTCTCCAAAAGATCCACTTAAATAAAAATTCTTGAGATTTGGAAAGCGGAAAATACTGTTTGGAAAGTTTCCTCTTAATGCACTCCCCCAGAGATCAAGAGTAGTCAATGAAGAAGAGAGATTCATGAAGAAATGAGGATTAACAGATGTCATGTTCACTCTACTAAGCACAAGTTCTCTCACCTCGCTCAAGTTGTGAACAAGATTTCTGAAGGTAGTTGTTTCAAGGATCAATTCAGAACAAGAGAGATTGAGAGAAACTAACTTGGGGAGGTGAGCAATTTCTGCTGGAACTTGGCCCGAAAACTGAGAATAAGACATATCAAGATGCTTTAGTCTAGTAAACAGATTGATTTCTGGTGGAATCTTGGAAAGCCTAAAATCATTCCAGGCAAGATTGAGGCTCTGCAGGTTTCTAAGGAAGAAAAGAGTGCTGTTGGAAGGAAAGGTGCCATAAAGGAAACTGCAGCTGAGATTAAGGGCAATTACATGACCTGTGACATTATCACAGCTAACCCCATCCCAGGAACAACAGTCTATACCTCCCTTCCATGACTCAATCTTAGAATAATTTTCCCCACAAGAATCTGGATACGGAACAGTGTAATTGACGGAGAAGGATGTCTTGAATTGCAGCAAAGCAAGAGCCTCCTCATGAGAGCAGAGATGCGTTGTTGAGAAGGAAGAAGCATGTATAGAGGATGAGAAGGCAGTTTTAAGACAGAGGAAGACGAAAAGGAGGCAGAGTGGTGCAGAGAGCTTTGTGAAGATCCTCATTTCTTTGGTTGGTACAGTAGAGTACTTAAGAAGAGTATATATAGACGGTCTCAAATTGAGGTATGCTAATAATTAAATATATTCCATCAAAACAAAAACAAATGAATATAGAAAGTAATATTGATGCAGTAATAGATGTCAATTTTGAATCTATTTTTTTACTTGTCTTTTATTTATTATTTTTAAAGTAGATGGAGTAATTAAAGATTATAATCACATTATTAATAAGTCTTCAATTAATAATTTAAATTTTAATAAAAAAATTATTATTTTTGTTATTTTGTGATATAAAAAAATATTTTTCTCACTTAAAAATTAGAATTA